ATGGATTTTAAAAGGGGATGTATGATAATAGCGGGGGACTTTAACATCTGTATGGACCCACGGATGGATACTACTTCCTGTGTGAGGAGGGAGGAAAACAAGCCCTTGAGAATGTTAAAGAAACTGCTGCATGAGTGTCAATTAGTGGACATCTGGAGAATCAGGAACATGAAGGAGAGAGATTATACTTTCTTTTCGCATGTACATGAGACTTATTCTAGACTAGATTACATATTAGTAGAACACCGATTGATAGAGTTGGTGGTAGAAGTAAAAATAGGAGGAAGTACCCTGTCGGATCATGCCCCAGTTGCAATGAAGTTAAGATGGGGTAGAGAGGAGAGAGAAGGATATGTGTGGCGGTTTGAATGAGGCACTTCTCATGGATGAAGCGATTGGTCAAAGAATACAGAGGGAAATAGAATGGTTTTTTGAAGAGAATGAAACAGAAGATATGTCGGTTGCAACGGTGTGGGAAGCACATAAAGCTTACATTAGAGGTCTACTCATTGCAATGGGGGCAAAAAAGAAAAAAGAAAGGAGAGAAAAGATAAATAGATTATTAAATGAAATATATGATCATGAACAGGTGCATAAAAGGGAAAGATCTTAGGAGATAATGCAGCTGATAATAAAAAAGAAAGAAGAATTAGAGAATGCAATGGATTAGGAAAAAAGAAGAGTCTTTTATAAAATAACATGTGAAAGGTATAGATGGGGTGATAGGCCGGGAAAGTATTTAATGAGAACTTTAAGAAAGAAGAAAAATAGAAATTATATTGAGAAAATAAGAAACCCTAAGGGGGAATTTGTACACTCAACCAAGGATATTTCTAGAATATTTAGAGAGTATTATAATGAGCTGTATAATATCATACCTCAGGATACGTTTAAGAAAACGGAAATAGTAAATAGGGAGAAAACAAAGACATATCTAGAGGATGCAGGCCTACCGAAATTAAGAGAAACACAAACTGAACTCTTTAGAGGCAGAAATATCTTCAGAGGAAATAAAAATAGCGTTAAAAAGCATGGCGGGAGGGAAAAGTCCAGGCCCGGATGGATATACGGCTAAATACTATAAAAAAATATAATGAGCTTTTAATACCTAAAATGAAGATTTATATGAGTGCTTTGGGGCATGGGATGGAGATAAGGGGAGAATCTTTACAGGCTAATATAGTATTGATACAGAAGGAAGATAAAGACCCCTCGCAATGCGCAAGTTATCGGCCAATAGCACTGCTGAATGTTGACACTAAAATATATGCGAAGGTTTTGGCAAATAGACTGAAAAAGCTGATGCTGGAGTGGATACATAGAGACCAGGTGGGGTTTGTCTCAGGAAGAGAGGGCAGAGACAATGCTTTGAGATCATTGATGCTTATACAGGAGGGTAAAAAAAGGGAAAACTCCAATGATACTGATGTCGATAGATGCTGAGAAGGCATTTGACAGAGTAAGTTGGGGTTTTATGATGGACACTCTGGAAGCGTTAGGAATAGGAGATAGAATGAGAGGGTGGATTGGAGAATTATATAGAGAGCCTACCGCTACCATAATGGTAAATGGAGGAAGATCAGAGTATTTTAAGATGTCAAATGGCACAAGACAGGGATGTCCATTGTCTCCATTGCTATACGTGTTATCACTGGAGCCCTTACTGTCCATGATTAGGAAGTACATAGACATAAAAGGAATAAAGATAGGAGATGGAGAACATAAGGTAGTGGCATATGCGGATGATTTGATGTTTTATGTTGGAAACCTAGAACAGCACTTCCAAATTTAATGAAAGCATTGAGGGAGTACGGAGATCTGTCGAATCTGAAAATTAACCCGACAAAGACTGAAATCTTAAACATAAACCTCAAAAATAGCGAAAAGGAAAAATTACAAGAGGAATTCCCCTTCCTGTGTAGAGATAAAGAACTAAAATATCTAGGAATAAAAAAACTATCAGCCTCAATGAAGAAACCTATATAAAGCAAATTATATAACATTATTAAATGAGACTGAGGAGCTGAGGAGAGTAGGAAATGGAAATCCATCATGAATAGGTCGTATAAACTTGATAAAGATGGTAATTGCCCCCAAAGTATTATACAGATTTCAAATGATCCCAATCAAACTCCCAGAGGCATACTTTAAAGAACTTAGGAAAATGATAATAAAATGTATATGGAGGAATAAAAAAACCTAGAATAGGTTATGAAACGTTGACTAGAAGTAAAGAAAGAGGAGGATTGGGGGGTACCAGACTTTAGGAGATATTACAAAGCGGGGATAATTGCGAGAATCTTTGACTGGATTCATAATCCAGAGAAAAGCTGGGTTAAAATAGAGACAGCACTGAGTGGAATAAGTTTAAGTAAAAGTATTTGGGTACCTTCACAATATAGGGAATTAGAGGAGAGCACAAGCACGTACACTCTTAATGTTTTAAAAGAATGGGATTTACTACACAGACAAAAGGGGTGGGTTTTTAACTCACAATTAATACCACTTAGAAACACAAAATTTTTCACCCCGGGTAAGGAGAGTATAGCAGGGAAATGGATTATAAAACAGGAGGCGCAATTGAGAGATATAATGGTAGGAGAGGAAATAGGGTCATATAGGGACATGGAGGAAATAAAGGGTGAAGTCTTTAATAAGATGGATAGACTAAGATATTACCAACTGAAGTACTTTTTTGAAAGCCTTCCAAAGCCTATAAGAACTAGAAAAGATTGGAATCCATTTGAGAGAATATTTGAGTCACGAGGAAATGGTAGACACGGATTGGCAAAAATACACAAGATATTAATGGAATTTGACACAGACACAAAATTAACGCACATAGAAAAATGGGAAAGAGACATGGGGAGAAAAATAGAGGAGGAGGAGCAGAGGAAAATGTTCACATTAATAAACGAAAATATTAGTATGAGGGAAGTAGAAATATATTTTTAAGTGTTTGAATAGATGGCATATTACCCCCAACGTGGAGCACAAGATGAACATAGAAATATCACGGATGTGTTGGAGAGGTTGTGGAGAGGAGGGCACGTGGTATCATGTCTGGTGGGAGTGTCCAGAAATACAGGTGTTCTGGCGGAGGATAGTTCATTTGATAGGGAAAATCACTAACATTAATATAGGATTAGATCCAGAATTATGTCTCCTCCACATCTCAGAACTCTCAGTGAAAACATATAAGAATTCGGGGATATGGCATTACTTGACCGCAGCAAAGAGTCTGATACCCAGGTTCTGGAAGAAAAGAGAGGTGCCAACTGAGGAGGATTGGATGGCTAGAGTAAACCAGATCTCTGGGACAGAAAGATTGTATTATACGCACGAGGACAAGCTGGAGTTATATAAAAAAAAATGGAAAGGCTGGGAAGAATACAGAGAAAAGGTGAAATATATGAAGAGATAATATTCCTGGAAGCTGGCTTAGAACTGGGATTTAGAAACAATAGAATAATATGGAGTTAAAGAGAGTAAAGAGAATGTTGAGCGTGGGAGGGGTTGGAGGAGATGGGGGGGTGGAGGGGGGGGAATAGGGGAGGGGGGGTAAGAAAAGAAAGTCATATACAGGGATAATTTATGTAAGAAGAGAAAACGTCTGTGATAATTATTTTAATAGAAATGTTGAAATGTTTTGTATATGAATTGGAAAATTAATAAATATTTATAAAAAAAAAAAAAAAAAATGAATGAGAGAGTGGATAGGAAAGTTGTATAGGTGGCCCTCTGCAGTTATTAGGGTAAATGGGGAGACGTCGGAGTCAATTGGGATGTCAAATGGAACAAGACAGGGCTGCCCATTGTCCCCATTGTATGTTTTGTCATTGGAATCTTTACTGTCAACAGTTAGGAAGAATATAAATATAAAGGCAATACAGATAGGAAGTATAGAACATAAAGTGGCTGCCTTTGCGGATGACCTGCTGTTTTAAGTGGGAAACCCCAGGATAACACTCCCAAATTTAATGAAGATATTGAAGGAATATGGTGAGCTATCAAACTTAAAAATCAACTGAGATTTTAAATATAAAATCTTTGAAATGGTGAAAAAGAAAAGATACAAAAAGAATTCCCCTTTATATGGAAAGATAGAGAAATAAAATATTTAGGGGTAAAACTCACTGCTTCATATAAGAACCTGTATAAATCAAATTACATTTCACTGTTAAATGAGATTAAGGAGGAATTAAAGAAATTAGGAGAAGGAAACCCGTCTTGGATAGGACGCATAAATCTGATAAAAATGGTAATTGTACCCAAAATCCTATATAGATTTCAAATGATCCCAATTAAACTCCTATAGGTTTTCTTTAAGGCAATTAAAAAAATAAGATATATATGGAAGAATAAAAAACCTTGAACATCCTTTGAATTGTTAAGCAGAAATAAAGAGAAGGGTGGATTGGGAGTACCAGATATTAAGAGATACTACAAAGCAGTAGTTTTAGCGAGAATTTTTGATTGGACGCATAATCCAAAAGGGAAAAGTTGGGTCAAAATTGAAAATGAACTTAGTGGAACCAATTTGAGTAAAATTATATTGGTGCCAACACAATATAGAGGATTAAAAGATAGCACAAGTTTATATACTTTAAATGTTTTAAGTGTATGAGATATATTGCACAAACATGTGAAGTGGGTTTTTAACTCTTTATTAATGCCACTAAGAAACACAGGGTTTTTTCCTCCAGGTAGGGAGGATATTACAGGAAAATGGTTTAAGAAGGAGGATGTTCAGTTGAGAGACATAATGGTGGGGGGGGGGGGAATTGAGAACACTTAAGGCAAGTTAGTTGGGACGGGGTGGGAAATAGATATAGAAAAAGAAAAAATAATGGTTTTGTATGTTTTATGAGAATATGATGGAAATATGTACCGTATTTTTTGCTCCATAAGACGCCCCTGGCCATAAGATGTGCCTAGGTTTTAGAGAGGAGAAAACAAGAAAAAAAATATTCTGAACCAATGGACTGCAGACATAGTACAGGAGATAACCAGAGACTGCGGACACAGTACAGGAGAAGGACCAGAGACTGCGGACATAGTACAGGAGTTAACCAGAGACTGCGGACACAGTACAGGAGATGACCAGAGACTGCGGACCTAGTACTGGAGATGACCAGAGACTGCGGACCTATTACAGGAGATGACCAGAGACTGCGGACCTAGTACAGGAGATGGACCAGAGACTGCGAACACAGTACAGGAGATGACCAGAGACTGCAGACACAGTACAGGAGATGGACCAGAGACTGCGGACACAGTACAGGAGATGACCAGAGACTGCGGACATAGTACAGGAGATGGACCAGAAACTGCGGACACAGTACAGGAGATGGACCAGAAACTGCGGACACAGTACAGGAGATGGACCAGAGACTGCGGACACAGTACAGGAGATGGACCAGAGACTGCGGACACAGTACAGGAGATGGACCTGAGACTGCGGACACAGTACAGGAGATGGACCAGAGACTGCGGACACAGTACAGGAGATGGACCAGAGACTGCGGACACAGTACAGGAGATGGACCAGAGACTGCGGACACAGTACAGGAGATGGACCAGAGACTGCGGACACAGTACAGGAGATGGACCAGAGACTGCGGACACAGTACAGGAGATGGACCAGAGACTGCGGACACAGTACAGGAGATGGACCAGAGACTGCGGGACACAGTACAGGAGATGGACCAGAGAGTGCGGACACAGTACAGGAGATGGACCAGAGACTGCGGACACAGTACAGGAGATGGACCAGAGACTGCGGACACAGTACAGTGGATGACCAGAGACTGCGGACAGTACAGGGGATGACCAGAGACTGCGGACAGTACAGGAGATGACCAGATACTGTGGACAATACAGGAGATGACCACAGTACAGATGACCAGAGACTGCTGACCTTTAGGGAGGGAGGGGGAGCTGGTACCTGAATTTGACAGGTACCCACTCCCACTTCCGCGGAGTTCTCCTTCCTATACTGTGGGCACCCGACTTTGACAGCTGGGTGCCCACTGCACATGCGCGAGAAGCACTGCGCTTTGTGAATGGCCCGGCGTCTTTTGGGACCTGTCGTGTCCCAGAAGACACCGGACCATTCACAAAGCGCAGCGCTTCTCGCACATGCGCAGTGGGCACCCGGCTGTCACAGATACCGCGGTGGGAAGAAGCCGGCGCAGGAAGACTACAGCGCTGGACCGAAGAACAGGTGAGTTCCTGTCGCAGAGAAGAGCTGAGCGGCCGGCCCGGTATTCTGACACGGTGGCGGTGGAAATATCGGACCGGCTGCTTTATATTTGCTCCATAAGACGCACTGACATTTTCCCCCCTTTTTGGAGGGAAAAAAGTGCATCTTATGGAGCGAAAAATACAGTATTTTTATCTGGAAAACTAATAAATATTTAAATTAAAAAAAAATTCATGCTAAACAGATACTTTTTACATGTCTTTTACCAAAGACTATTTGGGAGTGTCTTATTCAAAGAACTTGGCAGGTTCCTTCTGATCAGTTCTATTATTGTTTGTGTCTCTAATCTTTGCGTATATTTACTTTTATTCCTGAAGTTTGTAAGTGGACAGACAGTATCTTATAATCAAGTAGGGATTTTTTTTTATGTTTATCCTAACTGGAGTTATCCTTAAACTAGCCATAGCTGGACTGAAATCTGGCCAGTTTAGACTAGCTGAATTTAGATCCCTGTGTGGTAATCATCGTTTGATAGGAGTTGATCTGCCAAGTTGGAAATTGTTTGTCAATCGGCTGCTACAGTGACTGATCAGTGTATTCCGACACTCACTGTCAGAATACTATGTCTCGGCAGGAGGGATTCCTCCATCCACCTCACTTTTTTGGATAAATAAAAGAGCCATCTGTGGCAAGCTTAAAGCTGAACTATACTTACCTTGAATACAGCATTGTGCCGTCCCCACCAAATGCTGATGTCTTTTAGCAGCCGGCTTCTGTATCTTGATCACTGGCTGCTGTCATTGACTGGGCATAGATGGCATCACTCCCGGGCATGTACAGGAGTTTTGTCAGATTTGGCATTGCCGCATTTGTTCAGTGAGCTGCTCATCGCAGTTTACTGTACAGGGGCGGACAGGCAAGTAAATAGCTTTAATAGAGAAGAGACAAAGCATGTCTCTTCTGCATTAAAAATCCTGCCTGTTCACCCATTTTTATTCCTAGCCTAAAGTTCCACTTTAAGTCCTATGACCTCATGTTACCAGCTGTGAACATGTAACTTCCCCTCACTCCCTGTGTGCCTCTCCAACAAAGCCCACGGATATACCTTATACTTCAGGGTCTGGGAGAACATGTGACACTTCCCTTTCTTTACCCAAGTAACAAGGCACTATCGTGTGGGAGCAGGGGAATTTATATTTTCCTTTGTAAGCTAAACATTCTGTCTGGAAGCTATCAGTCTGGGTGACAATTCAACTATAGCAAATGCTCTTAAAGTGGTTTAACCCCCCCCCCCCCCAAAAAAAGAAATGAATATATTGCAGCTTAACGGAGCTTAGGTGTGCTGGCTGCCTTAATTTTCTTTATTAGGTTTTTTTCCCCTCTGTTTTCACCTGGTGATCTGGCTAGTAACACAACTCCTGTATGCCTACACCCTAGATGAAACAGAACAGAGGCGCCTTTGAACAACCGCATTGGATTGCAGGTGGACTTGTCTAACAAAGCTGAAGCTGAACTTCAGCTAACGCTTTTTAAGCAGTTACAGCAATCTGTGCTGTTCCTTTTGGGATAAAGATTTTACATAAATGAATAAAAGCTGAGCATTGTAAGCACCCCTGTCAGCGATAGTTTGTCTCAACCCTCTAACTGATACAGTTGTAGGACAGCTTGTTCTGTTGAAAAACAACAGACCTATTGGCAGGGTCATTAGGTGAAAATAAGATAAAGCATAAAAAAGAAAACAAATTCATTGGGAGCATTTGAAACTTATACAGTATTTTTGGTACTATTATCATCTTAACTAAATTTGTACGTCCAATCCATGAGACCCATCCTCCTGAGAGTCTTCTCAACTCATCTTTAGTTTAATTTAATAGTGGGATGTAATTAACTTGATATAAATCTTTAATGCTGAGGTTAACTTTATTCCCAAGTAACGTAGTTCCCTTTCTCTCCATGTAAATGGAAAGTCTTCTTGCAGATTCCTCTCCAATTTTGACACATTAATATTTAGAATTTCAGATTTTGTAGGGTTTATTTTTAAATTAGATAATTCTCCATATTGTTTATTAACCTCATTAAATTGGGTAGTGTCAATCTTGGGTTCTCTATATAAAATTTCAAATTGTCTGCATATGCTGCTACCTTATGCTCTACTCCTATTTTAATTCCCTTAATATCTATGTTCTTTCTTACTGATGCTAAAAGTGGTTCCCGGGACAGTGCAATCAGTAATGGTGACAATGGGCATCCCTGCCTAGTACCATTATGTAATCTAAAAGAATCTGACAGGGTCCCATTTACCTTCACCGTTGCTGAGGGACCATTATAAAGTTCTTTTATCCATGTCAACATTTTTTTCCTTATTCGTAGAACTTCCAGCGTATTTATCATAAACCCTCAATCTACTCTGTCGAAAGCTTTCTGTGCGTCGATCGCCAATATTATGGTTGGCTATCAACTTCTCTTTGCTTTTTGCTAAAGGAGCAATGTTTTCAGTCCATTGTCCTTTCCTTCTCTTCCTGGTATAAACCCGACCTGGTCCAAATGTATCCATTCCAGCATCAGTTCTTTCAACCTTGTAGCCAACACCTTTGCGAATAATTTGGTATCGGTATTCAACAGTGATATGGGTCTATAATTAGTACATTGAGTACCATCCTCTCCTTCTTTAAGAATAATTGTTATATGTGCGTGCAATGATTCCCCTCTCATTTCCACTTTCTTTCCCAGTGTATTCATATATCTGCAGAGTTTAGGAATCAATAGCTCTTTAAATTTTTTATAGTACCCACTGTATAAGCATCTGGGCCTGGGCTCTTCCTTCCCACCATTTTTTTTCAAAGCCTCTCTAATTTCATCCTGAGAAATAGCTCATTCTAATGATATTAATTTTTCTTTTGCAATCTTTGGTAAGTCAGCTGGTGTTAAAAATGCTCACTTTCTCTTTCTCACTCTTTTCTTCCTCTGTTGCTCTTTGATTTATAGGGTTCACCTCATACAGTCTACTTTAAAACTTCTGGAAGCTTTCTGCGATACTAGTGGTGGTTAGATCAGATCTCCATTTTCATCTTTAATTTTTTTTATACAATTCTTTGATTTCTTTTCCTTTAACATCTTCATCTGATATTTTCCTGGTCTGTTCCCCCACTGATATCTTTCCTTTGAAACTCTATTAAAGGTTTTCCTTGTATCCTCCTCTATTAAATCTTTCAATTCTTCTCTTTTAAGAGTGATCTTTCCATGTAGATCTAGATCCTGCTTTCTTTTATGTGCTTGTTCTAATTTATATAATTCTTTGATTACTTCTTTTAACTTCTTCTCCCGATCTTTTTTTTTTTTGTACCTGCCGCTATCAAGATTCCTCTCATATATGCCTTCTGTGCCTCCCATATCGTTGCTACCGATACTTCCTCAGTTTCATTTATTACAAAAAATTCTAGTTATTCTCTTAACTTCTCTTCTATATCTGGGTCATTTATAAGTGCCTCATTTAATCTCCACATAGCTCTTTTATTTCTCTCTCCTCCATTTCGTAGTCTCACCGTTACAGGGCCGTGGTCCGAAATAGTCATAACCTCTATATTAGATTTAACCAAAGATTACAACTGTCTATGTTCTATCAATATATAGTCCAATTGTGAATATTATCTGTGTGCAGAGGAAAAGAATTTATAATCCCTTTCTCTAGGGTGTTTTATTCTCCATGTATCTATTAGTTGGTTTTGATGTAATTCCTTTTTCAACTTTCTTATTTTTTTCCCTCCTTCCCTCTCCCTACTAGAAGATGCATCCATCCATGGATCCATATTGCAGTTAAAATCTCCAGCCACAATCAACCTATCTTGAATTCCATAATTCTCTCAATTAATTTTGAAAGGAAATCTTCTGGGTTTTTATTTGGGCAGTATACGTTTACCACTGTATATTTTTGTCCCTGCAGTTTCCCTTAGTCCCACATACCGACCTTCTGGATCTACCATTTTCCCTTCAGCTTCAAAGTTTCTTTTTTTGCAAATACTATTGCTACTCCTTTTGCCTTTTTTATTGGTGAATCTGCTTATACTTATTTAATAGTTATTTTCAAATCTACGTTCCATTTACAGGTAGGGATACCCAGATCTTTTTGTATATGTACAACACCCCCATTCCCTCTTCCTCCCTCCCTAATCCCCCTCCCTCTTCCTCTATCCCTCCCTTTTACCCTCTACCCTCCCTAAACATCCCCTGGCCTATATATTGCCCTAGAATCTGATGTGGGACCCCCCCACTGAAGATTTCTTCTTTGGGGTATGACTCTTGGCATGTGCACCACTCTGGGTCATTTATTCTCGACACATGGGCTTCCCCTTTCTTCCCCATGTGTCTACACTTAGAAGACTCCAGACGCCTATCATTTTTAAAATTCCTTATCTAAGCTTCATCTTGGGATTTAGGTGCTGAGCTGGAGGATACCGTGAGAGAGCGAGATCCAAAGCTGAAGGGAAAAACAAGAGAGAGAGAAAAAAAAAAGGGAAACCCTCTCAAGTCTAGAAATTCTGAGGACCCTCTGCACACTGGTATATACCCTTTCAAGCAGACTATGCAATAAATAGGGATATTTTGTTCACACATATTGCAATACATGCTTAAGCTGGCCAACTGCATCAAAGTAATCCCTCTATGGCCAGTCCTACTCTGCTCTGCCTACGCAAATGCTACTGTGGACACAATGGGGAGAGCTACAAGGTTCAGGTCTGGCTACTGACCCAACAATACAACAAACAAGAGATCCCTGTGCTCAAATCCCAACAGCTAGTGAAGAGATCCCTGTGCTCAAATCCCAACAGCTAGTGTAAGAGATCCCTGTGCTCAAATCCCAACAGCTAGTCTCTCAAGTCTGTCTCCCTGCAATCCTCTCAAAGCTCAACATTTGCCTACCTTTTTTTTCTGATTACTTGTTGTCATTTCTCACTGCTTAATTCTATCTTCTCATTAGGCCCCT